AAAAAAAAAAAGCCCAAGATTAAAAGTTACACTCAACTTACCTTGATTTCTCATTGGATTTGCTAACATAGCAAGATAAGGCAATAGCTCAGTCTGAAGACACTCAGGTGGTAAACAGAAGCTTGAAAAGAGAGATTTTGCAGCAAGGCAATTTTCTTGATACTGTAAGAATTAGGGGGAAAAGAAACACAAGTAAAAAAACTGGTACATCATCATTAATGTAGATACTCTCTACCATAAAAGACAGACTTTCTCCTTGCCTGCTGGATGACTACACACAGGCTACTGAAAACTGAAACAAGAGAAAAAAGATAAGCCATTAGAGTTAAAATATACAGAGCACAAAAATGGTGAAATCCTTTGCTGTTGACTTTTACTGGGCATTAAAATTTCCAGAAAATATTTATCCTTTGATTACAGAATCCTCCACCCACCCAGGCCAATATTTATTGCCAGATACAGCAAGAAAAGTGTTAGTTCAAATATAAAAGATTGTCAAGAGCTTTGTCATCTCATGAACGATCTATTTCTGATAAACGCAAACCACAGCAGCAGCAACTTCTTAATCTTACACAACAGTTTAATATGACTTAAACTGCACAAAACCTTAAGCTGACTTCTAGGAATACTTGTCTCCATTAATTTAGGATTAAGACTCTCCTAGCAGTGAGCGAACTTGGACACAGGGATCAGACTTTGTCAGAGGCTTCTAACTGATTTTTCCATTAAAGGAATAATAAAAATGTAACTCTTCAACCAAGTGCTTTTTAGAAGTAGCTTATCTCAAAATAGGACTTTTGAGCAAATACCATCAATAGTACTCAAGTGCCACCCCCTTGGAAAAATAAAATAAAACAAAATAATGATAATAAACAAAACCCAAGCATTTACCTTTTTATTGATAAAGAACCACTGGGGTTTATGTAGAGGCCGGAACCCCATCCCTCCTTGGTGGTGGGCAAAGGCTCTGGACATATTTGAATGTATCACCCCTCGGGTGGCCACAGATGCACTGTATTTTTCCATCACAAGCTGTGTCTATGAGAGAAATCAGGCATGATGTGAACAGTGTGTCCCATGTGAACCACAACACACTATAATTTCAGGGACACAACAGGCACAGAATTTGTTGAGATTACTGTGAAATTTTACTCAAAGCAGCTGAATGAAAAAGCAGCTCAGTTACATCAGGGGAAAGACATTTAGACTGCAGAACATTTTTACAGTAAATATATCCTACCTAAAAATACTTTGTAGAATATTTTACAAACACTGTAACCCGCCATAATAAAATACTGACAGAAGCTGGACAAAAAGTTGGACCTGCATCTCTTCTATAGTTGATGTACTTCAGCATTCATTAACAACTCACTGTCACCTATGCTGCAAGTGTGAAGCAAACATTCATGAACACTTAGAATAAAGTCTAGATCAATGTCAGAGTATTAAAAAAAGCATGTGTGTATAAAAAGGTGACACTTACACTCCAGTTACTACAAAGGACATCAGCGGTGCTCAAGTATTCACTGGCTCTCACTACATCATCTATATCAGAAAAAAAGTCTACATAGTTCTGGTGAAGGTATAAATTAAACATGCTTCCTGACATATGTGATTTTTCCACAATATCCTATTAGGAAACAAAAGAAAAAGTTCCAAGTTTTACATCCAATAAAAGATACAATACATTCGGATGATTAGGAAGCTGGCATACATGGTCTGCAGCAATGCTTATATACAAAAGGGAGATTGGCTTGCTGCCAGAGGGGCAGAAGCCATTGCTGTCTTCAACTCTCTTAATGGGTGGTAACAGAAAGGTGAACTCCTATTGACAATGCACAGTGAAAGGATGAGAGCTAAATCACAGGCTGCAGCAAGTGCAAGTCCACTTTCCACAAGTTCATCAGGGAGATGAGAAGCTCCGTTCTTGGAGATACTCAAAACTCAACAGATCAAGAGCCTGGGAACCTAATCTTCATTTGAATTTAGCCTCCAGAGGTCTCTTCCACATTAATTATTCTGTAACTTGGACAGACTGAATACACATATATTAAAATCAGTGACAAAACACCTGTGCTTAAGAATTTGCATCAACCACTTAAGAGTTTGTTTTGTTTGGGGTTTTTTTCAAACCAAACTGGAATCAAGTAGCTATAACAGATGTACCTCAGGTTGAATAAGCAAGGTGTCCCGGCGGTGATCTGATAAGTGAGCAGGCAGCTGAGGAAATTCTGATACTGGTTCTCCTACAAAGGATTTTACAATCTTTTTAGTGTCTTAGTATCAGAAGTGTTGTTACATTTCTGCATTTCTACATGATCAAAATACATTATCAAAATACATAATCAAAATATATTTCTATATAATCAAAAAAGCCAGAAGACACACATTTCAGATTAAATATTCAAAATTAGAATAAAAATTAGATAGGAACAAGAACAGACACGTAGCTACTGAATAGTAGTTTTCACATACACTGAGCATCACTTTCAGCTACTGTCAATTGTACCAGCTGATTTTAGAGCTGATATTGTGAATCACCACTGAAATATGGAGAGCCAGTGGCTTAATGGATTCCGATTTAGCCGAGTGCAGATAGTACTAGTTTAGAAAGTACCAAATGCTTATGAATTATAGTTTTAAACGTTAAAAAAACAGTACTGAACCACAGAGAGGGAGCAGATTGTTTCTGTAAATTCACAGAAGCTAGTGTAGAAAAAGCAGAACTTTCAGTAGAAGTAAGGTGGAAGGTATGTTGGAGAGGTGGAAAGGGAGACAGGGTACGACAGAGTGGAAGAGGTTTTCAGGTCAGAATGGAGAGAGGACAAATGTCTGTTAATGGGAAATAAAGAGCTGAGCTAAAAAGTAGGGAGGACAAGAGAGCAGATGCACAAACAAGGGAGGCAGTAGCCATGAGGCTACAGGGCTGTTCTGTACTTAGGAATACAGACGAGTACAGAATGTGACAGTACAACAATGCCTAACTCTGCACAAAGGCAAAAACTGCTTTTGTACAAAGCAACAAATGTGCTGGCTATCTATCCAGCTTTGCATGCATGACAGCATGTGGAATTAATGCAACCAGAGTTATGCAATTTTATTACACGCATGTCATACAACTTAATGAAACATTCATTTACCTAATAAATACAGACAGCTGCAATCTCAGTGACCACAAACTATTATTCCTGGTGGTATACTGTTATTAATGACCAAACATGGGAATTGGAGGTCACCCTAAACCTTACTTTAGCAAATGTAGCTCTTAGCAGCTGACATGCTTTGCCCATGGAAAGGAAGAGTAAGTCAAAGTTTTCTTACTTTTGCAGTAAATTATTTTCCCCAGAGCATGGAAAAGAAAAATGGAAGCATCTTTGCCACCAATAGCTTGTATCTCCTGGTCTTCTGAAGTATCACCTTTACTTTTCTTTCCTACTACTGCTGCTGCCGCTTCATGTTTTACTGTGGAGCTCCTTTTCTTCTTTGACCAAAACTCCTTCTCCAATGAGTGGTCTACCAATAAAAACAAAAATACAACCAGGATAAAGTATACAAACCCAAAAACATTTCCTATTCTTAAATTACATCAACACACATGTAGCTGTTGTGGTTTAGCCCCAGATGGCAACTAAGCACCACACAGCACCTCACTCGCTCCCCCACCAGTTTCCTAATTGAAATAACGTAGTAACAATACTGTAAGAAATTGCAATGAAAAGGGAAAAATAGCAAAAGAGAGAGAAATAAAACCCAAGAAAAACAAGAGATGTAAATTAAAAGCAACTGCTCACCACCAACTCACTGATGCTCAGGCTGTTCCTGAGCAGCAGCCCCCAGCCAGCTTTACCCCTGAGTTTTATGATGAGCATGATGTCCTATGGTCTGGAATATTCCTTGGGCCACTTGGGGTCAGCTGTACTGACTGTGTCCAGCTTCTTGTGCCTCACTGGCAGGGCACCATGAGAAGCTAAAAAGCCCTTGCCCTAGTGTAAACCCTGCTCAGCATCAGTGTGTTATCAGCATTGTTCTCAGACTGAAGCTAAAACACAGCACTGCACCAGCCAAAACCAGGACAGCAGTAGATGGAAATCAGCTTTAAGACAACATGTAACACTTACGACATGGAATGTTTTCAGCTTAACAAAACAAACAACACCCACACACACAAACACAAAACCTTTGTGTATTTAATTCTTGCTCCAAAGCAGCATATCAAAAATATCTTACATAGCTCACCTAGCTGTGCTGCAACAGTGAACAAAATACCCTTACAGCAGAAGTAGTCAACATGTCTTAACAAAATCACAGGTATTTACCTTTCATAGAAGAAAACTGAAGACTGTTTATTGCACTTCTTATATCACCTGAACAACCTCTGCAAAGCAACTCCAGAGAAGTTCTGTCAAGAGTAAAATTCTTTTCTCTGTTCTACAAATAAAAAGCAACATTCAAAGTTGTAAGAAAAAGTAGGACAAGGAGCATTTGAATATTACCCTGGCTGTGGGGTCCCACCTCTGATAGACACCATAAATAGACTACATGAGCATCCACCATGAGCACAAACCATGCACAACTGCTAACTTTAAAACTTTCAATCCATTTAAGCACACTGCCCCATTTTATACAGCATACTACAGAGAAAAAAGCACAAAGTTCTTTGCAAGGCATCACACAGTATTAGACTTGGTCACAATGAAAACAGGTCAGGAATAATACAGGACTTGGGTTCAGGACCTCTTCTCGCCTTGCTGGACACAATGAAAATCACTTCTGTTCCTATTATTTGTTTCATACATATATACAGCTCCTGTAAAAGGCAGGAGAATCTTCGGCAGTAACTTTCCACAGATCAAGTGGAACTGATCCTAAACACCAGATATCTTTCAGCTTGTTCCTTGTTTTCTGTTGGGGGGATTGGTGGGTTTTTTTGGGGGGTGTGGGGCTCTGCTATCAAAGATCAAACAAATACACCAACAAACATAAATAACATATTTCAGATATAAAAGCATGAAATATTCTAGCACAAGCACTGCACAAGTTATCAGTTATGCTGACTTACCAAACTAGCTTCTGTTGCAGCAATTCGATTAAGAACTTTCATCATATTTGTTGGTGCAACAGGTTTGAAACTGATGAATTTCATTTAAAAAAAAAATAAATAATTAGTTTCTGACTTCTTATTAATTTCAATCAAGTTTTAATGAGATAAAACATCTTACCTAATAGTGGATATACACAACTCCTCTAAAATGTCCACTGGAAATAGTAACCTCTTCTTACTGTCTCCACTGAAGTTATCTGATATAATAAATATAAGGGGACATCTACTCATACGAACAAATCTCCTAAAATGAGACATAAGTACAGTAAGAATCAAATTCCACTCTTCTGTGAGTGGGTAAAGCTAATCTTAAAACCTTACTTGCAACTGACCTGAGAATTTCATGCAGGCTGCTAGGCTCTCGATAGAATTGGTTAGGTAGGTCCTATTCAAAACAAAAGAACTGCTGTCACTACATTCAGATGTAAATATTCTCTCCCATAGACCGTTATGGCACATCACTTCCTACACATTTTCTTTCTAGTTAGCTTGTTCACAAGTAAATTTGCATGTGACTAACACTGAAGATAACCAGGTAAAAAAATAAAAAAAAAACAAAAAAAACCCAAACCCTAAAGCATAGCATTTCTTTCTTTCATTATGGAAAACAATTATCTAAAGAATCATATCACAGACCAGTTTGGGCTGGAAGCTCATCCAGTTTCAACGCCCTGCCATGGGCAGGGACACCTTCCACTAGACCAAATTGCTCCAAGCCCCTGTGTCCAACCTGGCCTTGAGCACTGCCAGGGATGGGGCAGCCACAGCTTCTCTGGGCAACCTGTGCCAGCACCTCACCACCCTCACAGTAAGAAAAGGTAAACATTTTCTTTCTGTCCTTTTTGCTTAAGAAACAGCCTTGGGTGATTATGTTGCGTGCTAGACTGAGTTTTACTCAGAAAATAAACAACCAAGTTAGCAGCTCCACCAAGAGCTGGAGAGCAGGATATGATATTGATACATGAAAGGACCTACACAAGAAAGTGACTTTATGCAGTCACAGAAAACCATGCTTCCTAAATTCTACAGTATTTCACATCACTCAGCTAGAATTTTTGTCTCCTCTCTTCTTTTTCTTGAGAGATGAAACTTTCTTGAAAGTTTACAGACAACTTAACTATCATAAAATTCCTCTCAAGAAAAAAAAAGAGAAAAAGAAAAGCTCAAAAAGAAAACACACTGAAACACTCCTGAGTAAGTAAAAAAATCACATCTTCTCCTCTATTTCCCAGTATGGCTTACAAACCCCTAGAGTTTGTATCTCTGCCCCTATAAAAGATCAGGAATGCTAAATTTCAAATGCTTTCTTACTGTGTTAATTCTTGCGTATCTTCTATACTCTCCTGGAACCTTAAATAACAGGAATAGCAAGAGGTTTTTTCCCCTTCTTCCTGTTTATACACATATATATTTCTAGAAAGCCAATCATACAGAAACATGGGTATGACTTCTGAAAATTGTTTTGATCTACATTTTGATATAATCTTACTTCTGTATAAACTAGTCTCCAGTTTCTGGAGAAAAGTTTCTTTCCAGTTTCTATATAAGCCTATTAGTTTATACATAGGCTTGGTTCTAGACTGCTGTAGAGACGTAGGAAGTAATAAAGAACTCATCTTCAGTAAAAGCAGACTAACTTCTGACAACACCAATCCAGCAACTGAAGCTAGCTAGCATGACAATGTTACAACAAAAGGTACTGTTTTCAAAACAAGATTTCACAAGTTTTCACTTACTTCAATAAGAATAAGCTTTTTATCATTTTCTGAGGACTCCCCAAGCATCTGAAGTTTGTTATACTTATTTGCTCTTAATAGAAAATCTTGAAAGACAGCTGCTTGGGCCTGACTCGGAAACATATGAAAATTTGAGTCTGAAAAAGAAAACTAATTAAAAATATGTGTTCTATATTATACAAAGTAAAATATAAATACGTACAAGAACTGATACCACCCATGGTATTTTCTGACAGCAGCCACTGAACACCAGCAGACAAGCCCTCTGGCAAACACACAGCAAAACCAGGAGAATTTTTTAAGGGTAGAATTCAGTTGAGGGCCCACATGAAGACAGACTTAAATATTTTTTTGAATTGGCTCAAATGATATCCAGGCTACTACACAGCTCTCTCTATTGATTTGAACTGCAAATTGTTTTGGAGTAAACACTAAAAAAAAAACTAAATCGATTTTCAGCTAAGAGCAAAAGGAAGATTCTTATTAAACATTAAGGACCTGGCTCACATGGCTGTTACCTTATAGGTAACAGATACAAAGGAATAAAAAATACACAACACAAGAATCGCAAAAATAACTGGAAGGGAAAAAGAAAAAAATAAAAAGCAAAATACTTACCATGGCCAAACATATTTCTTAAGTCTTCTTTTGTAAAGTCTAAAGATATTGGATTGATCCATTCTTGCACTTGAACACCAAGATCTTTTGCTAGTATTTGTATAGTTGCAGTCTTTCCACAACCAGGAGGACCAGTCAGCAGTAAAACAGAGCCACCCTGTCACGGGGAGGGGAAGGAGTGTGACAAAAAATCCAAAACACGATAAAGACCGAAAATTGTCTGAAGGTAAGTATTAGCTGAATTTCTTCTATAGTTTCTGTGGTAACGATTCTCTTTTCCCAATAAAAACTGAGCTAAATATTTTGTGTTACTAATTTACCTGTTGGGTTTTCAGATAGAAAGAGGCTAGACCCAAACTCTGAAAGCCTTGCTCTTAGTTTTTAATGCATCTGTTTCGTTAATGGCACACCATGTAGACTAGAAACATTAGACACTGAACTGCACAACCAGGTCTGAAAAACACTAGGCAAGACTGGCAAATTAGCTTGTGTACA